GAAAAGTGTGACTTCTAATTTGATCAAAACTCATCCAAATTGCGCGTTTTGATGTGCTAATCAATTCTGGAAGTTCACTAAACATGTTTAGAGGCAAAACTGCGCAGAAACAAAGTGTTTAGAAGTTAAACCAATGATTTCAAATTCTGACTTTTGAAGAAACTTCAGTTCAAAGTTACCAAGTTCAAATCAATGGCATTATCAGCTCAAGAGGTCTTAGGGCATGATTCTTGATGCTTTAGAAAGATGGGGTTACAAGCTTTGCAATAGAAAAAGAATGAAATCAAATGGATGCTTGGGATGAAAGTTGCATTGAGTCAAAGTTGGGGAAAAGAAGTTGACTTTCCATACTTACAAATATTTCAAGTTTTTTCTTCAAAAGTGACATATAATGTTTTGCATCCAAACATGGCCTTCCACTTGAAATTTGCTCTTGACCAAAAAAGATGGCATGAAATAGACCTCTTGAATGACATTTTGAAACTTGAACCATTCAAAATCTCTAAAAATTGAGAGAGTTATGAATTGTTGAAGTTGGCAAAAAAATCATGAAATGACCTATAATCGTTTGTATCCTTAGGGCATCTTCCATCCATTTTCTCACTTTGCACATAAAAGAAGTCATAAAGTTCACATCCTCAAGATAATTGTGAAAAAAGAATGGGATCAAGGTGATAAAAATTGACCAAGTTATGATCATTTGATATCACACATGAGAAAATGGGGGTTCATCTGGAGGACTTGTAATCTTTCTTCATCGTCAAGTTTGTTCCATGTGAAAAATCCTTGAAACTTTTGAAGTGATTTGTTGATAACCCTTTGAATAGAATGATGTTTTTGGAATCACTCAAAAATACCAAAAAATGAGCAAGATATGCTTCTTTGAAGTTCAAAACCTTAGCTCCTAGATCAAGAAAATGCTTTGAGAAACTTTGACAATTTTGAACAAACTTCTTGTACCAATACTTTTGCTTTGTAAATAGAAGTTATTGAGGATAAAAATGAGAACTCATAGCCATCAAAACCACTTCTATATCTTGAAAATTGAGAGAAATATGTACTTGTGACCAATGAGAACAAAGCATTGTCCAAACATGACAACTTCTTCAATCAACCCCTTGTACTTTTGAATCAAATTTGATAACCTTGAAATGTGGTGAACCAAAATAACATTGCCATGCAATTTCTTCCAAAACAAATCCAATGGTGAGATTTGAACTTCCCAAACTTTATTGACTAAGGCATGGAAATAAACTCATGAACTCATGGAGCAACTTGCTAAATCTCATTGGCTTTACCTACATTAGTAACAAGCAAGACAAACCAACATTGTATTTTATTAATTAAAAGGAAAAATTAAGACAAAATATTCATGACCATAAAAGGAAACAAGTAAATATGCTTGGTGATTCCTCAAATATCAAAGCTAAAGGTAGAGAGGAGGACAAAAAGCCTTAATGTGATCTTGTTGTGATTGAATCAATATGGTATGATGAAGGGATCTTAGAGGCAAAAATTGGGGTACAACAGCTAGATTAATTTCTCTTGCAAATCTATCCTGTCAAACACAATGAGTGACTTCATCTGCATCCTGGTTTCAATTAACCATTACCACCTTTGGGGCGTGTCCCTCCCTTTGTATTGCTTGTTCGACCCTAGGTTGTTCGACTTTTTGCCCCTGGTTAAATTCAGAAACATTTGGCGCAACTGGTCGGGCCTGGTTAATTTTTGGATCTTCTTCAAAAACCACTCTTTGATTTTCTCTTAGCCACTCTCGACGGGGATGTCGAACTGGAGCCTGAGGGGCCCCGAAGAAGTTTGCAATTCGCTCCATCTGCGCTGTCAATTGCTAATTCGTCTGGGAATTCTCTTGATTAGTTTGGGTAGAGCTTTGGATCAAAGGATTAAATATTATTCCCATTTGTTGGGCTAGCACCCCCACCATTTCGTGGTTGCTATCATCCATTTATTGTCTAAACGCTGTCGTAGAATTTGTTGTAATCGTAGGCATCTGGGTAGCAAATCCAGGGGGTGGATATTTTGACCAATGTTGTTAATTCTTTATCATGATCCTTATAATTGTGAAAACATAGACATCTATGGATCAGGGAATGTTGACGTGTTATTGTGCGTAGTTGCCATTACTGATGTTGGCATGTCGTACATTTGTTCACGATCATCCATTGGCATTGTAAATACAAATGCAAAATTTCTAAAATTACTCGTCCCTGGTGGTCTTGGGGTCACCATTGGACTCTACGTTTGCACTGGGGAGAGGATTGGTCCACTATGAGCATTCGTTGGTATAGCCTCCGTACTCACTTGGACTGGTATAAATTAAGTCACAAATACTATAGTTGTATTTTCCCCTGTCAAAAGAGAGGTTTATTCTCCATTATTGTTTGGTGGATTGACCATTCTTCTAACGTATTTTCTCTTGGGTCTTACATCGCTAGTTCTGGCTATTCTACCACTTCATAATCTCATGCAACAATGTTTAAAGAAAAAGTTTGTTGTAAAACATAAAATTTCCTAGGACTAGACATTGGGTCCCATTGGGCGTGCCAATTTGTTTACTGGGAAATTTAGTAAATGGTCGCTAGTCTTTCGAATCTTAATGTTTTTGGTTACTTAGAGGATCGACTAGATTGATCCTAGGACAATAGTGTATAATTTTGAAATGTTTTTATGGTTTTTTTCTGGATATTGATCTTTTTGACAATGGAAGTAAGTTCGAATATAAATGACTAAGAAAACAAGGATAACGAAGCATGTAAATGACAAGAAACTAAATGTTTCAGCTAAAAATCTAAAGAAATTGTAAATGACTTTAAATGTAAATTTGCATTAAGTGGTAAAAGTGGTGTTTCAAACGTACATTCTCAGAAAACTCGTTTCTCGATTAAATTTGATACTTTGAGTGAATAGAGTAATTTGCATAACAATTGAACACACATAAATCTAAACTATAAACTTCTGAAGAAACTTCTAGAAGATTCTGAACAAATTCAGAGGCCACAAAGAATCAAACAAATACCAAGAAGGTTTGCAGAGTGTGACATGCTGCAAGACACTGAAGTAGATTATGAGAGAGAAGTTGTTCAGTGTACCATGTTAGTAGATTCTGCACGAGTGGATACTGAAGAAGCTCTCAAGAAGAAAGTGTGGTTGAATGCCATTAAAGAAGAACTTGAAGCTATAGAAAGAAACAAGACTTAGAAGTTAACTGAGCTTCTAAAGGACAAAAAAGCCATCAGCGTCGGATGAATTTTCAAGGTGAAATCTGCATTTCTGAATGGAGTATTAGAAGTTGCACACTGTAGCATACAAGAGCAACTTGCAGATGTTTTGATGAAGGATGTCAAGACTGAACACTTTATCCATTTGAGGGATAAAATTGGTGTTATAGAATTTTAATTAGTTGAATATGACTTAAGGGATGATGTTGGACGTAACTCATATTCAGAAGTTGTTGTTAGAATCAAAAGCTTCTGAGATTGTTAGCCAGAAGTTGTAAGCTTTTGGGATTGCTTAGTTAGAAGCAGTAGTTCTAGAAGCTTTTGTGGTATTTACTCAGAAGCAGTGTTACACAGAAGCAGAAGTTTTTAAGGTGACTATTCCAGAAGTGTGTTTAGCTTCTGGAGTTGAGTTTAGTTTGTTTCGTTAACTTAGCTATTAAGTTTACTTTGGTTATGGCCTACGTGACAGTTTACTTTATGTATAAATAGATTAGTGTTAGTTGTCTTATGTATCAATCTTCCTTTAACTTTTGTAGCATTCATTGCAGGGTAATAAATATATTTTCTCATTCTTTATGTTCTTTATCACCTTGTGCACTAACAATTTTAACTACAAAAATAGAAGAAAATTTTGAAATTTGGAAGAATGGAATCAATAGGTTAAAAATTATATTTTGAAAATTTTAGTTTAATTGTTAGATGGAGTATGATATAAATATTTCTTGGTTTATTTAAAAATTATATGGAATTTTATATGAACGAGTTCAAAGTGAGGAAGATGATGAAGAAAGATAAGAGAGAAGAATATAAAGAAATGTCAAAATATATTCGGTGTTGGTGATTTATTATTAGATTTAATAGATTTTTAATGTTCAATTGTTTGATATTTTTTAATTAGGTTGAATGATTAAATTTTTAAAATAATAAGGGTTAAATATGATTTTAGTCTCTATGCTAAATTTTGTTTTTGGTCCCTATAAAAAAACATGGCATGTTTTAATCTCTATAAAATTATTATGGACATAGTTTTGGTCCTTGTTGTTAAACTAACGTGTATTTTTGAATGATTATTTTGCAGATATTTTAAAACGTTATAAAAAATTCTTTGAAAAAATAGAACTCAAAATTCAATTTCTATTTCTATGTTGAGATTATCAATTACTTTCATCAATAGTTTTTGAAATTTAAAATATTCATATGTAATTTATCTCACTTTAAGAAATTCTAAAATTTGATAAACAAATATTTTATAGTATTCTAAATTCGTGTGAAAAAAAATTATTCAAAAATTTAAAAATTTAAGAGTAATTAAATAGTTTTCAAAATTTTAGAAAATAATAAAGATTAAAATAACATAAATAAAAATTTTGTAGAGACTAAAATATGTAATTTTTTTTAATAAGAACTAAAAATTAAATTTAAAACATCTATAGGAATCAAACATATATTTAACCCAAAAAATAATAATGTATATAATAGATACTCAATAAAATTGCACCACGGGAGTTATGTTGACAAAAATAATTAATTTAAAAGACTAAATTGACTAACCGAGTTAAATTTTAAAGACTAAAAAATAACAAATAACATTTATTAACTAAGATATCAAATTCAAATCATAAATTAAGTTAAAAATGAATAAATGTCTAATATGAGCAAGACCCATATGTATCAACCAATCATGCATGTAATGAGCAAGACCTATATGTATCTTTTTTTAGTTTCAAAGATAGTAGGCAGTGATCAAATTTGAGTTCCTAATCATTTCAAATTATTGTCACCATTAAAGTGTTTTAAGCCGATTTCACCTCCCCATTTAGAAACTTCTGCTTGAAACCTAGGTCCTATTGGAATAATTGGTCTTAGAAGATGACTCCTCCTCGAAGGTAAAAATTTATTGATCGAGCAAACAGTGTCAAGGCCTTTTTCCGATGAGCTTAATGAAAACGGTAAAGTCTTATTCTCACCATAATCGTCATCTCCAAACGACGTCAACATTAAATTTCCTAAATACATAGGATAACTAAGCCCCTTAGTAGAATCTTCATAATCGCTTAAGTGAGAATAATCTTCCATACAAATACCACAATATTCTCGATCTTTTGCTCCTTTTAAAACATTCTCATTTTTTTGGGCTAGCGTTGAAGATGCAAGGGGAGGAGATGATCCTCTTATATGATCCTTGGAATTTTTACTACAATATTTCTCTTTATTGATGAATTCAAAACTAGTAGTAAATACAACATCATATATATACTCCTCAAATTTCCTCTTCTGAAATGAAATTGCATAAATTGTTTTCTTAAAATTTCAATGTACACTCGATATAATTGTATAATATTACAAATTATGTTGAAGAATAAAAGGATTCATTGTGTTTTACAAAAGTTTTTTTCTCTCTTCCAATAAAATATACAACACATCAAATTTAAATATTGTAAGCGTACCTGTTGACCTTTAAAATTGGAATTCAAAGGTTCATGTACTCTTTGCATTACCATAACTCCAATGTCTTAACAAAGATCTTATTTTTGTCCAATGGCGGGTGTATTTTTCAACTTGTAGCTCTTCCTCTCAAGACAAGATATAACTACAAAAAATTTGCAATTGCAAAAGAATAAGTACATTGACAAAATAAAATGTTTATAAAGAAATACTTCATAAGTATACTAATGATTGATTCAAAATAGAAGAAAATATATAATATGTATATATAATACGTAAACATTGCAAGAAAATATATTTAATTTGCTAAAAACTAAAATTAGTATTCATATTTTTAATATTGTAATAATTATTTTATCTTTAAATATTCTAATTTATTAGGTTTTAATTTTTTATATTATACAATTTTTTTTTCAATTTTTTTTTATATTACATAAAGTTAAAAAATTACCCACAATCAAACATATTTTTTAAAAAATATATTATTAATATTTTTAATTTAATAATAAATTAATTTTTATTTATCTTTTATCATATTTAATTTTTTATATTAAATTATATTTTATAGGGGTAAATTTGTAAATTATTTTCTTATTCTATCCTTTCAAATTCTAACCCAATTCATATTCAAAATATAAAGTCGAACTAGTGAGGCAAGATACGATAAGTTTCAAGATTAACTTATCATATCCTGTTGTATCAACAAATATATATATTATTTTGTCTCTTATCTTACACACAAAACATGTCATAAATATCTTACATTAATATGATAGAAATTTAATTTAAATTATATATCATATCAAGGTTCGCAAACGAAAACAACTGGGCCAAAGTAGTATCTACATGTTGATTCTTGTTTTTATATTATAGAATAAATTATTGTAGTTAATTCACCGCAACGACCACAATCAATGGTGCATCATGGACCGAAATCACAAAAAACATTTACACGATCGCAATGTGATGTGACTATAATATAAATCAAGTTTTAAAAAAGAGGTATGTGATCACGACAAATTATGTTTAACTCACACAACGTCAATCGCCATAAGTGTCGCGTAACATGTATCAATCAAAATTACGAAAGTCTTTAAGTAACCGCAACAAAAGCACAACCTTTTTTAAAAACCTAGTACTACTAAGTCTAATAAAATCCATTTAATAAAGGTTAAATATACAACACTCCTGCAATATAAGCGAAATTCGCTTTATCCTTGTAAAAAAAATTATTTGAATCACCCTATTAAAATATCTCCATAAATACAAAAATAGGGGTTATTCGCTTTATCCTTGTAAAAATAGGGGTTATTTCTTCTATTTCCTCTATTTATGCCCTAAGCCCAAAGCCCAAAATATCTTTTTGTTACTAAATCAAATGTAATTTATTCTAGACTTAAATCAAATATATTTAAATCTAAAACAAATCAAATCTTTTCGACACATAATTTCAACACACTGGATTACAATTTTCAATGTTTAATTCAGAAAAAATATATATTACAAGGAGAATTCTCAAAAAAAAATTACGAAGAAGAGTAGAGCAAATTTTGCCTATATTATAGAGGATAGAGTGGTATTAACCCATTTAAGAATATGAATAATAATGTTATTTAAAACAATATTTATACGACTATTTAAAACCTCTTAAAATTATTATTTTTTTAAATGGTTTTTTGTTTTTTTTTAAAACTTAAGTTTTTAAGAAGGAAACTTCCACCATAGATCAAAGGAGATCAGATATGCAATAACATATCACAACTTGTTATCTTTGACATATCAGCTAATCCAATATACTTAATATATAAGCAATTCAATAGTTATAAAATAACATTTACATAAATAAAAGATGAAAACTAAATCTCTTCAAAATTAAAAATTGTTCAAATGACAAATAAGTTGTTTTTCAATTTATTAAGAAGAACAGACAAAAGATTAAAACAAAACGCATACAGCAGAAGAAAATACGTGTAAGAAGAAATATTAAGAAGAAAGAATAGATGACTAACCTCATAAGAAGCATGATTGGAAGAGGAGATATAAAGTGATTTCTCCCAAATAGAAAGATGTAGAAATTAGGTTACATCTTCTTGTTTTATATTGAATCAAATGGGCCATCAATAAGCCCAATAAGCCCAAAAACATAAAATCCAAAGAACTATTCAATGTGTTTTTTAGAATGAGAAAGTAAATATATTAATTATATACAATAAAAAATTAATTAAGTAATTTTTTAAATCTTTTTATATAATAGTTTAGGATTTAATTATTATTTTGGTCTTTATAATTTATCTGATTCACGAAATTGATTTATCTATTTTAAATTTAAATAGTTTTGATCATGATTTCCTTATATTTTTAAACTTAAAATTAATGATTTTTTTTATTTTTTTAAATAATAAATTTCTTTTGAAACATGATTAACATTTTAAATTTATTTGACTCAAGTAACATATATCAGTTAAACTAGTTTACCTATATTTTATATATTTTATTTTAAATAATTTTAAATAAAAATTATTTTTAAGATATATCGTTTTTAAAAAAATATAATTTTAATTATATTTTTTATTGGTCAAAAAGTACAAATGTATGTGTTCTCTCTACATGGGCACGAGGAATTAGAGGTCTTAGTATGCATATTAGGTTGTATGGTGGTTAGGAGTTTCCCACGGCGGCTAGAAGGTTTATATGATGGTGTTTTATGTTGGTTTTAAAAGTCATGCTTATGTGAGGTGAGAGACTATTGTGCTTAGGTATAAGCGTATGAGAGAGTGATCAGTATGAGTTATAATTTGTATTTCTTCCCTTAGGGAAAGCATTTATAAATGTCTCTTGGATCTAGAGTTTTCTTAAAAAGGGATCATGCCCCACTTAGTTAATGGTAGACCGTTGAATGTATTATTTCATGTTTTCCACGACTATAAGATAAGAAAGTCTTGAAGGCGATGTGATAACTGTCTTTTGAATGACATTCTATCATCACCTTTTCTAGGGGTCTAAAAGCATTGCCTTAGGAGGGGGCCTTTTACAATTATAACACTATAGTTTTAATCTTCAATAATATATATTTATTTCATTTTATGTCAAAATTTAAAATAAAAAAAAACTTTTAATGTTTTAAAATAATTTTTGATACAAAAAATATTTCTAAAAATAAATAAAAAAAATTAATTTTAAAATAAATATATTATTTTCAACTTACATATACCCCTTGTTATAGAAATCTAATTTAAATATAATGACAACTATTTCGGTTATAAATTATATTAAAATATAATATTATTGATTGATTATTTTTCAATTAAATATTTATTTATCGTTAATGTTATATTAAAGAAATTAAAACAATTTTGATACAAAATATCTTTAAAATTGGAATAACGATGCATTTTGTTAACAAGGAAATCTATTAAAAAAATTGTTAGAAATTTCATTGTATAACAGCATGTTAAAAGTGAAAGAAAATAAAAAGAAACTAATTTAATGATTGGATAATTACTTTTAGATGTACTAAAATATTCCTCATTGCCAATGGCGAAATTTGGTCACACAAAAATATTTTTTCAAAAGTTTATTAATAAATATCATTAAAATCAATTTTATCTTTTATTAAAATATAGTGATATTAATTTTTTTTGTTAAATCAAATACTATTTTATTTTTAATATTATGTATTCTATCATCGATTGTGATTATTTTCAGTGATAAATTAAACTTGTGATTATTTTTAAAATAAATAAATATCATTACTTACTCAATTTTTTATAGTAGTAAATGATTCAAAACTTAATTACATAACCATGACTTTTATTGATTAGTATTAATTAATGAATATTTAATTTAAATTTAAATTTAATATATACTTAATATAAATATAAATATAAGGTTGTCATCATGACAACCCTAATCATATATCATCTTGATAACAACTCTAAACACAAATCTTAATTATATTTTGAATAATAATAAGAATAATAATAATAATAATTTAATATTCAATAACCACTATTATAAATAATTATAATACTAATAATAATAATAATAATAATAATAATAATAATAATATATTCAACCACCACTATTAATAATAATATAATATTTAATTAATAATAATATTAAAATAAACAAATAAATAATAAAAATATTATAATATCGAGATGCCACAATTATAAATAATAATAATAATAATATAATATTAAATTACCACTATTATATCTTATTACTCTACTTCTCATTTTTTTATATAAAAAATATTTAATTCTCAAATTAATAGCCAATAATAATAATAATAATAATAATAATAATAATAATAATAATAATAATAATAATAATAATAATAATAATAATAATAATAATAATAATAATAATATTAATAAAAGAAGATAAACAAAAAATATAGCTAATATCTAATTTATTTTATTACTCTAATTCTCACATTTTTATAAAAGAATTTTTTGATTCTCGCATTTTTATAAAAGAATTTTTTGATTCTCAATTTAATAGCTAATAATAATAATAATAATAATAATAATAATAATAATAATAATAATAATAATAATAATAATAATAATAATAATAATAATAATAATAATAATAATAGTAATAATAATATTAATAATAATAATAGT